CCAGCCAGTCTCCTCCCTTTTTTCCAGATCCTGCCCTTTTATTCTTTTTCTCTCCTTTTCTGCTTATGAAAAATTTTTAGTGACTAGAAATCTTTATTATCCCTTTGACATTTTGTTTTATTTTCAGCTTAATTGCCTGTTGATGTCAGAACGGATTTTTTTTCTGATTTCTTATTTAAGTCTCTTAGTTGTCAGTATAGGGAAAGGGAGAGAAGAAGAAAAAAAAAATCCTTTCCCTTTTCACTTTCCTTCGCTGCTTCAGAATCTTCTTTGGGAACGATGTTAATTTTTTTTTGTTTAAATTCCAGGGTACCTTAGTTGTTGCTTTTGCAATTTAACCCGGTCAGCCAAAACTTTCACTTCTTATCTTCCTCCTGCACATTCTTTTCCAGTCGAGTTCTTCTTTGAGGTGGCCATTTCTGACCGCCGCTGCAACCACCTTTGGGAAAGGGAGTAATGGCCAGCTGAGGAGGAGAGATGCGGCTCTCCTCAACCCTGCTGGCAGTCTCCCCCCTCTTCACCACCTCTACGGGGTGGCTTAGCCCCCAAACCAGCTGGCTTGGAGCGCTCCAGCGGCGAGCCCAGACCGAAACCGCGCACGATCGCGGATTTCTGTCTATCACCGAAGAAGCTCAAACCGGAAGCCGTCTTCAGTCTGATCTAAGTATGGTATATAAAATCATACACTGCAATGACTTACCGGTCAATGAATACTTCAGCTTCAACCATAACAACACAAGAGCACACAATAGATACAAACTCAAGGTTAATCGCACCAAACTTGATTGCAGGAAATACGACTTCAGCAACAGAGTGGTCAGTGTCTGGAATCCTCTACCTGACTCTGTGGTTTCTTCCCCAAACCCCAAAAACTTTAACCTTAGACTGTCTACTGTTGACCTCACCCCTTTCGTAAGAGGTCTGTGGGGGGCGTGCATAAGCGCACCAACGTGCCTACCATCCCTGTCCTATTGTTTCTTTTATTTTTCTTATATGTATCCATTGCATGTATTCATAACTATGTTTATCCTTATACCTATTATCTTGTAAGCGATTGACAAATCAAATAAATAAATAAATAAATAAATAAATAAATAAATAAAATGGAGACCCTATCTTCATGAGCAGAAACCTGTCAAAAGGATTGCACCCAGAAGCTAAGAAGGAAGGAATTTCTCTCTCTCTCTCTCTCTCTCTCTCTCTCTCAACAGAAAAATAGACCTCCATGGATGAAATGAAATTTTCAGGAAGGGAGTCATAGCAACTGAACTACATAGTTCCAACAAGAAATGGAAAGAAGAAAAATCACTTGGATCCTGTTGGCCACAGAGGGCTGAGCAGCACGTGTGGCTAATAAGAGAGCTGCACCTCCCTCGGTCCCCTCTGTCCACTGTAGCAGCTTCTGGAAACCTTTGTTCTCCCTCTGGGGATTGGGGGTGGGTGAGGGGAGATTGGGAGACTGGGCTTTGCTGCATTTGAGTCACAGCAAGTGGGCTGGAAGGGATATTCCAGCCCTTCAGGAGTTATAAAAGGAAGGAGGTGTGTGTGTGTGTGTGTGTGTGTGTGTGTGTGTGTGTGTGAGAGAGAGAGAGAGGGAGGGAGGGAGGGAGGGGGTTGCCTCCCATACCCAGAGACAGAGCACTGTCCTTCATGTGGAGCCAAGAGACCAAGCAGTTCAATGGCCCAGTTGCAGCTGATGTGCAAGAGATGTGCAAAATGATCCCAACTTGGAGATGCTAAAGGAGAAATTCAAAATAAAAGTCACCATCCCAGCACTCCTATGCTGTTCCACGCTGTAGTTGCTTCAATAGACAATTATCTAATCTAGTGTGAAGGCTGGAGACCAGGAGAGAGTCTGTTCTAGTCCCGCCTTAGGCATGAAAGCCAGCTAGATGGCTTTGGGCCCGTCCTTCTCTGGGCTGTTGTTGTGGGGCAAAGAGGAGGAGGAGGAAGGAGCATCAGGTAAATTCACTGCCTTGAGTTACTTATAGAAATAATAAGGTAAGATAAAAACAAACAAAGAGATAATCAGCAAATTACCAAAACAACAACAACAAATTTTCAAGGGGTTGGAATTCTCATCAGGAAAGGTGGGAAAATTTGAACAAAATTCCTTTCCAAAAAGGTGAGAAAGCGTCTGTGATAGGAAGAAATAGAATGGAAATGTAAATAATACATGATAGAAAGTGGAGAAAAACCTTTTCTTCTTTCATAGTTGAGAGAAGCTGAATGATGGGAGATTCATGACAGATTGTTTTAATTAGTTGCTTTTAAAATGCTGCTAAATTGCTTTTCTGTGCTTTTGTGGTGCGTGTAAGAATAATTTTAACAGACATTTATTCTTCGGGGAATAGGCAAAAAATAAATATTTTAAGAGAAAAGAGAAAAATAAAAGAGGCAGCATTTTCACATGGCATCTAGCTAAATTTTATGCAGTTCACTGTCATCCAGCAGCCTGAAAAGAACATTAGCCAAACTTTATTTTTGATGCAAAAAGTCACGATGGCAAGAGAGAGCAGCCTCCCATCTCTTGGAGAACATTGGCTAGGAGCACAGCGGACCATTGCGACTTCTCTCCCAGACTGACAGCTGGTTGCCTCTCAAGAGGCTGGGCCTTTGGTGGGATCCAGCGGGGCTCACCCCATATTTTCCTGGTCTTCCAGGCAGACAGTCACTAATACCAGCCATATACATGCTTAAGAGAAAGTGAGCTCTATCTGTTTTTTTCTGTGCTGGTCAGAGATGGTATTTAAGGGTGACCTGGGTGTATCAAACTAGATAAAACTTTGGATTTTCCTATCCAGAGGGAGCTGTTTCTTGAATTGAGTGTGTTGGAAGAATTGTCCTTCTGGGTTCCGTTCCGAGTGGGGGAAAAGACACTGGAAACATGGAGGCTGTTTGGAAAGATGGTTTAATGGTGGATAGCAGGATCACATGGCTTGGAGCTCCAAAGAAGGCCACATACTTCAAGATGTTGCATGAAGGAAAAGAAGGGAGGACTGAGATGCTGAGAGTCCCTTATATACCCTCTGTTGGGCCCCACCTTAATGTTTCCTGTTCCTGTGCAAGAAATGCATCCCATTGGCTGTCAGACTCCCAAGGGGCGGGGTCTTAGCTAACTTTGTAGGCTTTGTCTGGACCACATGGCTTCACCTGAGTGCTGGCTGATGCAATCTTCCCAGGCCAGGTGGTGAGATGGGTAGAGGCCTTTGTTATGTAGAATACTCTGGCCTAGGGCTTAATGGCCCATTAGCAAAGGTGTGAGTTTCTGCCTCAGTTTCTACTTTACTCTTTTTTAGGAGAAATATTCTCCCTTTTAAAATATTCCCTAGGATATTTTATCTTTCTAGGAGAGGGGTGGTCCTACAAGAACAAGCAGCAGCTGAAGCCCTGGTTCCTGTCTGTACGACGCTTCCTGGCCTCCTGCCCCCAAGATCTGACCGGCCCAGTAAGGAAACCCCCAGATCGCATGACAAATTCTCCAGCTGCTTCTCCCTGTGGCATGTGCCCAGCCGCTTGGCGCATTTGAGAAAGAAGCTCCTTACAAGAGGATGTGCTATTTTATTATAGCTTTGCTGTACTTTTCAAAGCCCTGCCATTTTCCCATATTGTCAGAAGCTCCATAGCCAGGCTAGCTTCAAAGAGAGGTGGCCACTGAGACAGTTGAATCTCTCTCTCTCTCACACGCGCGTGCACACACACACTCACACCCCATGGATCTGCTGGGCGGGAGGGATGGCAAGACTGAACTCATCAAGCCCTCAACACGTGGCCACTTGAGCCTGTCTTCTTCCCTGCAATGCCCTTCACAGCTTCTTCTCAGGCTGGTTGAGGAGCCCAGCCTTGAATGTCTGTACAGATGCCTCCCGGTGTCAGCCATTGCCCCCACCCTCCCCCTCCCGCTGCACACTGGGAGAAACCTTGCAAGGGGCCGCGCTGCCCAGTGGACCGGCTCTTTCTCTTGGGAGGCTGGCGTCTATCATAGCGCCCAGCCCCTTCGGGTGGCTTGGTCCTCCAATGCCCGGGCCACCCCGGTGCGCTGCTGCCCTTGGCGCCGGCACGGTCTCCCAGAGGGGGGTGCAGGGGGGGGGCGCTCTTCAGCAGGGAGGGCGGGGGCAGAGTTCCCCTGCCCAGCCGGCCTCCCTCTCCTTCCGCCTCCAGGCAGCCAAGCCTCGGCGGAGCGTCTGCCGGGGGGCTCCGGGCGCTGCCTTCCTCGGCGCGCGAGGGGCCCTCGCCAAGCGGGGCTGGGCAGCCAGGGCCCGCCCGGAAGGCTCCCTCCGCGCCCCCGTCCAAGCCTGCCGCTCTCCGGCTCAGCTTAGCCAGGGAGGGAGGGAGGGAGGCGCCGACTGAAGACTCCCCCCTCCGCGCGCTCGGCGCGCACATCTCCACGCCAGGCGAGGGCGGTGTGACTCGGCCGGGGATGGTGGGAGGAAGTCGGGCTCGGCTTGGCGGGGAGGGCGGGGGGCGCCGCGTTGTGGCCAGACTTCGGGGCTCCCCCTCCCGCCCCTCGCTCCCCTGAATGGAGCCGCCTGACTGAGCGGGGGGGGGGAGCAGGAGGCACGTTTGCAGCTTGCACAGACCCAGCGCCGCCGCCGCCGCCGCCGCCCGGCCGCCTCCCCAGTCTAGCTTTGCCCTGCCGGAGCCCAGCCGCCTCCCGCCGCTTCCGAGAAACTTTCCCCGGGCCCAGGGAGAAGCCCCCACCCCCGCCCACCCGCCGGGGCCCCTCCGAGCTGCTGCCACCCTTCCTCGCCGGGAGGAGCCGGGCAAGCGCGGCGGCGGCGGCGGCGGCGGCGGCTCTCCGTGGTGCTGGAATGTCCGCGCGGCTTCTCGGCGGCTGGGCGGCCGGAGCGCGGGGCCGGCTGGCGTCGTTCTGATCGGCGGCGGCCCCGGGGCCCAGCGGGGCTCCCTCGGCTTCTCCCACCCCACGCGGGGCCTGGACCTCCGCGGCTGAAGGGCCCTCCTTTCCATGTGGCTGCCCCATGGACTCGCGCGGGAGGAGGATGGCGGATCTGCTCCTCTACATCAAGGCAGCCCTCCTGGCTTATTTCAGCTGTGCCAGCCTGTCCTGGGCAGATGCAGGTAAGGGGGCGCGGGAGGGGCAGGGCAGGGAGCGGGGTCGGCAGCGGGCGGCAGGTTCCGTCCTTGGGGGCTTCATTGTCCTGGTGCCCGCTCGGCGCTGGAACCTCGCTCGGCCAACGGCTTCGCTCACTGGGGCACCACCGTCCATCGGATAAGCGGAGAGGAGGAGACGCAACAAAGAAGTATTTGTGCGGAAACAGTTCCGGTAGCGGGATAGGACAGCACGTTTCACTTGTGGCACTCACTGCTGCATGTTTCTGGAACATGAATGCTACTCTATTGGGAGGGCACGATTTAAAGGTGTTTTTGGGTGGGGGGAGGGGGGGAGAAGCAGCAGCAGCAGCAGCAGCAAGGCGTGTAATATAGTTTCCGAAGACCTCCCCTGAGTGCAGAGAGCCCGAGGAGACCTCACCGGCTGCTCCTGGCTGTGAGATTTGGCCTCTGTGCTGGATTCTATTTATTCGACTGGGCTGGAGAGAAAGGAGCCAGTCGGTGGCCCCGGGTGACTGTCCTTCCAGTCAGCCAAGTGATTCATGGAGGGATCATATGATGCCACTGCATGTGAAGGCAATCAACTCTCTCGCCTCTCTCAGGAAGGAACTGCCACTCACTGGACCTTCCCTTGGCCCAGGCTGGTTCTTCTCACGTTGTCAGAACCCGCCCACCCCGGTCCGAACAGGATTCCTAAGATATGGGGAGAGACACGGCAGGTATAACTGCTAACCATAATTTCCTCAGAACCAAATAACTTTGGACAGCAGGGGGGTCAAACCACAGCTAGTGAAGTAGGCAGCAGCAGCAGCAGCTGGAGCCAAATCGGTCCCTGATCACATTAAATGCTTTTCCAGATTATTAGCAACACGGGTTTGTAGATGGAGAGCCAGGAAACCCCCTCTGTGTCCCCCCCCCTCTTTCAACAGTGTAGCTGTTCTCTATGGAGAGGGGTTATGAAACCAATAACTAAGCTGTCTTCATGAAACAGGAGGAGCTCCAATTGTTTAAGGAAGTCCTGGGAAGATCGGTGGGAGATCAGAGATGAAGTCAAAGGAAGGAAGGAAGGAAGGAAGGAAGGAAGGAAGGAAGGAAGGAAGGAAGGAAGGAAGGAAGGAAGGAGTGGAGTTTGGACTCCTGCGACTGGGCACCCATTGAAAGGGCTCCTTCACAAGGTCACATTGGCCACGGAGTCAGTGAAGATACATAAAATGATTGAGTATAATGCTTATTCAAAAATCTGTTACAAGGAGTGGTGGAATATGCCAAGAATATTTACAATATTGGAAGGTCAGACCTTATTATTCTAGCATTTTTATTGTTCTATTGCTATTTGTCAAGCTTTTTAAAAAGCCTCTCCAAAAAACTTCCTTTAAAAAACCATGCACCCGGGGTCACAAATGATCAGGACCTCCGGAATCAGCCAGTAAATTACTCCTCACTTTAAAAGCAGATTGACTAGAAATGAAGTTTAACAGGCCGTGAACTTCCCAGAAAGAGGAATTAAAAGTTGGGGAAGAGATATGAGGTGGGGGAAACAAGGAGAAAATCCACGGAGGTCTGACTTATCAGCACAGCCAGGAAGAGGCTTTCATTTGAGACCCAGCAAAGCACTTGGCTCAGGCAGCAGATTCTGGAGTCATAGAGAGAAATTCGTTAACTATTGAACTTAGTATACTACTGATTATAAAGATCTTTTGACAGTTATTGAAAAAATACCATCTTTAATCTAGATTAGAAAACAAAGCTACAACATTAATGGGTTGTAGCTACAATGAACCGATTACATTGGACTTTAAAAAAAATGACGACTAAGTCCAGATCCAATGCATTGACACAATACCCTCAATCCTAAACCTGAAAAGCCCAATTCTTTTCTCCATATATCCTCCAAATAAACTGTATGAGGTCTCAGTGAGCCGACTTGCTTCATACAATAAGCTAATATAATGTTAGGCTTCCACAGTGGAAGGTAGGTTGTGGTTTGATCTATTGAAAACCCCTTTTTGACTGGGCGGGAAGATGCAAAGTGTTTGGGGCCAGGCTGGCTGGGCAGGGTGGGAGACGTTTGTCTCTGAGGTCAACTGGGTTCAAGCCAAGAAATTCCAACAATTTAGAACCTTGAATGAAGCTTAGAAATAAGAAAGTCAATTTCAGAAGAGCGGTTTGTTGCATTGAAATGAAGAAAATGCTGGGAAACGCCTTCCTTCCTTAACCTGCTTGCTCAATGATTCCCCACTCTTGGAAGGTTTGGGCTGTATCGTGGTGGCCCTATCTCTCTTTCACTTAGATGTTGTTTTGCTTAAAGCCACAGCAAGATTGATTGTCTTCAAGCTGATGCTGCAGCTGTCATTTCGATTGCACGTAAAATGCTAATCCATCTGTTCTCCAGAGAGCCTCTTGTGACCGTTCTAGGATCTAAAGTCTAGCACAAGTGGAGACCCTCCGGTTGGAGGAGGTTGGAGCCTTCCTTTTCAGTAGATTCAAGGATGTCAAGCATGCCTGTGTGTGGCAATAACAGGCAACTGTGCCAGGGATCAGGGCCAGAGGCAAACAATTGACCCTAGAGAGGCACCCAGAGAGCCTCCGAACATGGCCAAAGAGTCCCAAAATATGAGTTGCTCTGGCACTGGCTGGAACTGGGATTCCAGGGCAAGTAAGAGATTTGTAGGACCAGCTTTGTGAGGGTGAGAGGAGAGAGATGAGCCTACCCAGTTCTCCAAAAAGCCCCAAAGGATCTGCTGCCTCTTTCCCAACTCTGAGAAGCCTCTGGCTCTGCCTCCCTCTTCTTGCACTTGGAACAAAGAATGCAAATCCCTTCCAACTCAGCTGCCTTGCAGACCCTCCTAGCGTGACCCTGCAGGGGCCTTGGAATCCCCTGGACGTGGCCGTTAGACCTGAGCCTGTCCCCCCAGGAGACCTGCAGGTTCCCTTCAGGGCAGGGCCATAAGCCGTCCTGGCTATTTGTTGAACCTTTGCTCCATTTGCTCTGCAATTCGCTCCTCTCCAGCAGTTCAGATGCAAAATTCTCTCAGAGGCTCCTGGACCTCTGAGCCAACGGGGTTCCTTGCAAATTGAGGGAATAATGTTGACACCGAACCCTGTTACTTCTGTTACTGCTGTGATTTCAGCCCCAGAAACAGCATTCCAAAAAGGCTCTTTAGAAAAACACTTCTTTCCCCAAAGGCTGTTTAAACAGCTGGCGACTGGCTCCTATTTCAAAAGAGTTTGTTTTAAAATTAGAATTGGATTAAATTCTGCTTAGAAGAAACCTTACTGAAGAGTTTTGCTACCTGCAGATTTCATTCATTCATATTTTTAGAAGTTTCTAGTCCATAGTCACACTGAAAATATCTGGATTGGGCTATGCTTTATAATGAAGTATTTTGGTTAAATGACATCACTGTACTATTTCTATATTATGCTTCAGGTTGATTTATGCATTTTCAACTATTTGGTTTTTCCAAACATTTCCCAGAGGTTTTCCCCCCAAAATAATGGGATTTTGGTTTCTTCAGCATAAGTGGGAATGGTCACAAAGAGAGTTTAAATTGTATAGTTGCTGGGTTTTTTTTAAGTTATATTTTTATAGGAGAAGTATCTCCAAAGAGTTCTCTAGTAATGGAGATCAACACATTGGAGACAGAGAGCAAGAGTCCAAAAAGGATCCAGGCATACAAGCCCCCTATAGATAGTTGTGCCAATTAGAATATATTTGGAATTGAATGCCAGATTGGCTTCCTTGTAATCCAATGAAATCAGGATAGTGAGGCAAGGAGGATGGGACTCGAAAGACCATGGTCCCCTACATGGGGCAAAGACTGTGCTCTTGGATGTGCTACTACAGGGGTGTCAAATTCCCGGCCTGGCTGGCCCTGTCCACCCCTGGTTTAGCAAAGGGGGGGGGGGGAGAGACCCCAGGTACGTCACGTGACCAGGACGTGAGTTAGACACCCCTGCTGCAGTAGATCTTCTCCTCCTCAGCTGTTCTTGTCTCTTGATATCCCCGGCAACAGGCTTGTGTTTTAAAGGTTCCTTGGACTTGGATAGTTGATGTTCCCAGGGAAAGGGAATTGGGAAAGGGGAGAGGGCAGAGGGGCCACTGTACTTGATTCACACGACAGTTGATAGGCCAGTAGGCCCTGGGGCTGCAGGGGTGTGAAGCTGCCCTGTCCATGGGAAAGGTCTTGCTCTGTTTCTGGGGCCGGGCTGAGCCAATCAAGCCGAAGTGATCTTGGACTTTGCCATCAGTCCTTCTCATGGTCCTTGTGAAAATGAAATAACCCTCATCATTATAACTAGCAGGTGCTCCTCCTGCTGATTAGCTTACAGAATTTGCAATCCGGAGGTCTTGGGCCGTTCACACTGCTACAAAGAAACAAGTAAACGCTTTATTGCCAACAGAGGCAATGTGTCAATGTTTTTTAAGAAATTGCAGGCATCCCTCCTTCTCCACCCTCCCCCAACCTAAAGGTACCCCATGGCCACCTCTTTCCCTGCCGATTGTGGCCCCCCCCCCCGCAGTCCAATGAGGTGTTTTGCCTCTCCAGCCACAGCCACATTTCTCTCCCTGGGCCAGACATCTGCTCCGCTTCTTCCTGTTTGCGTTAGGAGTCAACACACACACACACACACACACACACAGCACCACCACCAAAATTAAAGATGCCCTTGCATGTCACACAACTGTCCTTGAGGATTCAGATGGTGAAACTAAGTGGGACTCCGGAGGTGGCAGCCTCTAGGAGACACCGTGGAAGATTTATGAAGGTGCCTTTAATATGGTTGTACATGCCAGCGCAAGGGGGGTAGAGGAAAGACATGGTGCACGCTCAGCTCACACACCAAAGGCGTCTCAAATCACCTGCCTGCTTCCTTTCCTGCTCCTTCTCTCTCCCCCCCTCCCCATTATCCTCAGTTCACCCTGGATGCAGAAGAAATCGGGAAGGAAGGAAGGAAGGAAGGAAGGAAGGAAGGAAGGAAGGAAGGA